ATAATAAACTCATTAAAAATGTATGTTCCAAACAAATGAAATGATATAAAGCATACTGTCACTGATCATTTTAGGGTTGTCAGTTGCCTACAGCTCATATATCTTTCCCAAAGCAGAGTCTCCTATCATGGACAATGTAGATTATAATGCACAAGTCATAATGGAATAAATTTTTTAACAATGCCTATTCAGGGGCCATCACAAATCATTCTAGAATTGTCTCACTCCTCGGAACAGAAAGTCTCCTGTTTTTGGTTAGCGAAAACATTACCATAGATCTGCATGTCAGCAAAATGAAAAAGCTTATAATTACTCAGTATAAAACAATGTCTAAAAGCTCCCAAATTATTAGGATCAGGTGGAATCCTGCTACAGCACAATTTACATTGTAACTATGTTTTGAAAGTGGGGTGCAAATAATTGAGGACTTACATGTACATGGTATCTCTGGGGCCCTGTACAATCAGGTAGTCACACATACATGTAGGGAATGATACCGGTATAGATATTCTTTTCCAATAATATTGAAAGATTTTGGCATGTTTGAGGGGAAGAAAGTTAGTCTTATCCAAAAGTCCTAAATGTTTAAGTACATGTTTAATATGCACCAGAGCAGAATATTCACTTGTTTGGGGGGTTTCACTTAAATGGGGGTCAATGTTGAAGGCCATCACTGAGGTTTCTTCAGCTATCAGTTCGTAACTTAATTCACTTACAAAATGGATCAAAAGTTCAGGAATTGACTACATGTATACGTGTAGAGTAAAGCCAAGATATTTGAAAGAATCTACTACAAATCAAATTGGTACCAGTACAGGTACATGTAAGTTCCAGTACACGTACTGAAATGTATTTTAAAACTGGATTGTAGGTTGTCCAAAATTAGACATTTTGTGACACAATACAGGGGAAATCCCTCACTGCACAGCATTTCTCATTTCCTGATACCTGTTCAACAATAATGAATAGGAAACATCACAACTGCTGACAATCAGTGGACCATTACAACTCTAACTAGCAAAGGAACATTGATATCAGCACAACAGGCATGACAGGAGTTTATGTACAAGTTTTTTTTAATGTTTTTTTCTGATTTCATACGACTCCATGTACACTATGCATGTACATAGCATTGCATGAATGCAATTCCAATGGTGTACAAAATAATTTGGAAACAAACCGTTCAATTGAAAATCTTGAAAGTATTTTTAATTATACATCATGTACATGTAGAAGTGTCAGTTTGTGTTGTTTGGCTTCATTTCATGACTATGCAATTTACAAACATGACAAATGTACATGTTTCACTTTTGACTCCCCTATGGTTGCTTCAAATTCTACTTCCTCTAACTACATGTAGCCCAAAGCTTTTAAATTTCATACCAGGTTCACAAGATTTTAAATGGTGTTGAAAACTGGTGTCATAAAACTGGCATTGACTGTTGAAACAAGATGAGCCATTTCCTTCCTTTTTTATCAGTGCTTTTTGTTCCTTTGTCCATGCCTTGTGGCTCAGACTACTGTCTCATTCAACCTGTGATGTTATACGGTACATGTACATTGTAATTCTTCAAGGCGACACTCATTTAAAGTGTAACTTGTCATTTAAGTCCCACGTGGTTCACATTTCAGTAGTCTTATCAAGAAACTGGGAGAAACTTCATTTAGTTGCTTTGTATAAACTGATGCCTAGGTTACCAGCTAAAATATCGTGTCCATGTATATGTATCTATTAAATATGCAGTACTTGTCACTGGTTCTGTGCTGGATTTTTGCTTCAAATGGAGATTTGATTTACATTGTACCGGTGTATACGGGAGAACTATAGACTTTATTCACGGGGCCGGCCACATTGAATTTGAAAGAGAGATTAACTCTTCATTTTGGAATGTTGAGAGTACAAATGAAGCAATAAAATGAAATTTCAGGACCAATGTCCACCTGTCTACTCTGATGATTAATTTAAAATTCATGAATAAACACATAGAATACTGGTAGTACTTTGCCAGATTCCGAAAATTAAAGTATAAAGCAGTCTGGTGCCATCCTAATCGACAGTTTGAAATACATTGTACATGCATATACAACAGATCTTGGGAATGAGATCAAAGATGGCCTCCACTTGCATAGGGTCTAATTTCTGCACAGCATTTGCCATTTACAGAAAGGCCATATAAAATGTGCCCATTGTAGAAAGCCTTTAGCAGAGTTGGTAGCAAGTCATATTTTGCAAGTCTAAGTCAAGTCACAAGTCATTAGGTTCAGTCACAAGTCAAGTCACAAGTCATTTGGTCTTGCCACAAGTCAAGTCACAAGTCTTTTTGTCCAAGTACAAGTCAAGCTGCACATTATTTCGTCCAATTGTAATAAGCAAAAAGAACCAAGTGTCAATTTTAAGTTACAAGTAGCATCTGATTTGGATTCAACTTTGTAACAAGTCATTTTTTTGTACATGTAAGTCCAAGTTGGGTCACAAGTTATCACATTTGCAAGTCCAAGTCAAGTCAAAAGTCAAAGCCGGTATTTATAAGTCAAGTCTCAAGTTACAAAAATAGTGACTCAAGTCCGACTCGAGTCCAAGTCACATGACTCGAGTCAGCAACTCTGGCCTTTAGGGCTGAGTTCGAGCGGCTTGTTCCTGTATGTTCACGAACAGCTCGATTTGTTGTTCGTGGGTCGGCCGCTCAAACGCCAGGAACAAACAACCGGTTATTGCTGGTAGTTAGTGACAAGCAACATGCAGGCATCCATGTACATGTAGGTTACGTTATTCGAGAGTAAATGTTTGGATGGGCTGAATTCTTTTCTATATAGACAGGAACATTCGTTTCTGTGTTACGGAAAATAATTAATGTTAATTTTGCAAAACTTCCCATTGTCTATGGCTTTGGAAGCCATCTCTCTACTTTTTGCAGCTGTTAAAAAATCAAAATCTCACGAGTTTTTCTGTGTGTTCCTGTAAAACCCTGATGAGGAGGTGGTGTGTGATCCTGTTCTGAGAACAGTGTTCTTGAGTCGTGTTCCCGCCGTTCGAGCGTGAGAACAAGAAACCCGTGTCAAGAACAGGCAGCTGGAACTCGACCTAGATGTCAGATTTTAACCTTCTTCCTTGAGCGATAGTTTCCCAAGTTCCCCTTTCACTTTCTCTTTTGACAGAAATGAATGTTGGTTTACTTTTTACAAATGTAAATTAATGGAAATACATTTATATGTACGTGTAATTGGAACCTTCATTATGTTTTTGAAGTTTTAAGAGTAAATGATGAAAAGTGATTGAGGCAGGATATGACCCTTCAACTTTCTGGACGCCATTCAAATACTCTCAAAGTTGAGACATACATGTAAAGAACACCTTCCATTTTTGGTGGGTTTTGTGGGTTTTTGTTTCTGGTTTTTGTATTTTTGTTTTAGTACATGTATGTTTTGATAATTTGGTAATGTGTCATGAATGCTAGTTTAATGGCGTGAAAGGGAATTTTTAATGAGAAAAGGTTTCAGAATTACAAGGCAGAAACAGTGCACCTCTTTGGGCACTTTTAAAGGTGTTCACTGTTCAGATCGGTGAACTTATGCAGTGAAAATGGGCGAATTCAAGGATTATACCTTACATTGACACGATGTAATTTGACATGCTTACTACATACACATGTACATGCAGAAAGAGCACCCTGACATGCCTGATGAACATCCAATGACACTACAAGACTTATTACCTACCACCATGCTGACTTAATAGATCAGCTTTACACAGATGCAACGTGCACTTAATTAAAACCTTACCCATAACCATTCTGTTACATGAAGGTTACATTTGTACTGGTACCTAGTAGTCAACAAATTTTCCTAATCTCTTGGTCAGTTTCAGGAGTGATTCAAATGGCATTTTAACACTTGTTACTTAATTAGCCTTGAGCAGACGCCCCCTCCCCTTCCCTTCCCCTCCCTTCCCTTCCCTTCTCCTCCCCTCCATGCATGTTCATTTGACTGGTAACGGAAGCAACACGCCGATAATGTATGCATTTCATAGTCATTTGTGAACCGACTTAGTGCAGTTCCAACCAAAGGAACCTCCGTTGCTAGGAGAACTGCATCCTCTCTTGGTCTCATTGCCTCACCACAGTAAACCTGTTCAGAGGCAAAGTTCCTCTCTCTCCAAAACAATCAGACTTCGTTATGCAGCGAAGTACAAAACTATCAAGAACTTGATCAACACTTCATCATTGTAGTGGTTCTTTTATATTTTAGAAGCTGGCTTCAAGTGCAGAAAGTGACAAACAAAATGCAGAATCAACAATAAAGATGGTACAGTATTATACTGCAAGGATGCTTCATCCCACAACCATGTTGGGAGAAACCTAAATATTAGAGTTTGCAGGCCCTGAGGTACATGTAGTCAACCTACAGTACATACATGTACATGTAGCAAGCCCAATAAGATTATAAACTTGTATAGTGGATGCACATGTACAAGAAATGAGATGAGAGTTCATGGCAGCACCATGCAGATTTCTTTTCAGAACCCTACTCACTCCCAAAGAGATTCACATGGTGCATTGGTACTACAGCAAGCATTCATCTCAGACTCAAAACCAACAGATGAAACAGGTTGTCACGCAAACTACTCACGGCATATGAAATGAACAGTTTCCTCTTACAGCAGGCAGATCCCCTGCACATTGTTTACCACCTGTCTTCCCCATACTGGTCACAGAAGATCTACGAGTACTATCATCCACCAAGGAGCTGACAGTCTCACTGGGCTTCTGGTTAGTGTCTTGAAGTTCAACGATCAAGATGTTACTTGTATCTCTCTCTCCATGACGAGAATGAAGAACAGACTCAATGCCTAAACAGTCAGTAACCCACCACAAGCCCCCTAGAAACTGCAGCATAGTTTCTAATGGAACAGGAGAAGCTAGGGGAGGGAAAGGAAATGAGATTACTAGCCAAAGGAAATGACAGCAAGAAAGGTGATGACTGACTAGTCAACTTTAACTTACGGTTTGTCGTCGAGCTTGACTACGTCCTTCTGGGGGATGTCATTCCATCGTGTTACCCAGCTCTTTCCACTCATGCTTTCTACTGGCTGAGTTGCTTGTCAGGCTGTTACCATTTGGATCTACCCAAGGAATTCTGGGAAAGAAGCCAAAGGCAACAATGCATTGAGGAAGGTATTAATTTCCAGTGATTCATTCTGAGTTGTCTTGTAAGACTGTTAATACGACATCTATAGGTCGTTTCATGTCAGACCAACACACTTTTTGACCTTGGATCTTCAGATTTTAATAAAAATTGCTGTGCTTGTAGACATCAATGAAAAATAAATAAATGCCAATTTTTTACGGAATCTGCACTTCCATGTGGTCAGGGCAGAGATCAACAAAAATGGACAGTTTTCACTTAAATATTCACCCTTTCAGGAAAAATGACACATAAACCTCTCATTTTTTATCGAATATATAATTAGAAGTCAAAGAATCAAGAGTCAAGATAAGCTTTGACATGCATCTGTAACCTTTGATCCCATTTGAAAATTTTTCAAGCGTTTATGAAAGTACGGTTCCTGCTCTAGAAGAATCCGCTTAAATCTCTCTAGGGTATTCAAAATAAAAACTGTCAAGGCGATTTTCTACAGTTGGTCAACTTAGAATGATTACATGTACAGTACATGTATGTCATTTTTGTAAGTGTGGATTTAACGTTCCAGTTGACAAACATACATGTATAGGCACAGTTAGAGCAACCTGCCTTTCATGGGCAATTTTTGAACCCTAACACTCCCAAATCCTCCAATTTCAATACGATTTTACATACACCCTTGGGAGTTAGGGCTAGCTGATCAGGATTATAGCCAAAGTTTGTAAAAACAAATTCCATTTAGTGACCACAGCAATTTACACCAGCAAACCTGCAGAGATTTTTCTCTTAGGTCTCAACAAAGTTGTATGTTATATTGTGCATGCATACATGTACATGTACATGTATATTATTATACAAGCACATGTACAAGTATAACTATGTTAAGTTGAAATTACACAAGCAATAAGTAAGTCCATACATGTACCAGTATACATGTGTACATGTAAGTGTATAAAGGGGGGAGATTAAAGCCAAAGCAGGAGAGTTATGGGATTGTTAATCATTGTTCACAGAAAAAAGTCAAACAAGACAAACACTGAAAAACGTGTAATGGAAACTGCAATGTAATTATTAGAATACAATTGTAGAAAAATATGTACATGTATTGTTTACAATATGCATATTTTACCACTTTTTATTTACCGGAATGGCACTTGACATGCACAATGAGTGACTCTTGGGACTTGGCAAATCTTTGATTCATAATTAAATTGTCTCTGTGACTTCATATTCACAAGATAGGATTCACACATGTAACATATGCAGTTTTGAATTAAAAACCCCCTTTTCAAAAAAAAACTGCATATTGCCGTGAACCATTTTTTGCACTACCAAGTACATTTACCATACAAAGCTGGCCATAAGGTCACATTAATTATAAAGGATTGTACATATTGCAGTCTCTCCAAGACCTGACTAGCCTGCTCAACAGCACATCTCATTAAAAGTTCAAGATAAATCAAAATAAATTATGAGTTTCATATTACATTATACTAAAAATCTACATTAAACCAAATAGAAGACTCTGAACCCTGAAACTATAAATTGCACTCTAGAGTACAAGTACATGTACATTACTCTATAAGATATTAATTAACTTCCTCCTGTTAAATGTACATGTATGTACATGTATTAAGCAATAGTTTTGTGTACGCCAGTATTACAATTGAGACAATTCAATGCATCTAGCCACCGCACTGAGGAATTGAATCTTAAAGCTGTATTCCTTTGTTTTAAATCAAATCCTGTATTTAATTGCAAAGTAAGTGTACTTATTTTCTTTTCCAGATCCACGGCTCTGGAGGTCTTTCAAATGAAACGAAATCTGAAATTGTACTACATTTAGGTCTGAATCACTCCTAACAAATATGGATTTCACAATGAAAAATACTCACTCTACAGTGCTGTTACAGAGATATTGTACATTGTAGGTACTATAGAGTGATCCCACAAAATGTTTCCAAAACGTACTGTACATGTACAATTTTGTACTTGCAACATTCTTTTCCTCTGACAGCAACAGAAACCATTGATTTATGATTTGATATCAAATTGAAGCTTGTAATTTTTCTACTATCCAAAATTCTATGTTAAGGTCATACATGTACATGTACATTGCATTGCAGAGATACATGTACATGTATGTTCAATTACACCACACAACTTACTCCTTTGTCCTATCCAGTGGAACTGTAAACAGTTTATTTTGCAAGCGTTTGCAATCAGTAAATTCAAATCTTCAATTATCATTCAACTGTTTTGGTTCCTTATTTCTTTGGCATTTATTTCTAGTACTGAACTTGATGAAACTGATGTTCATTTCAGAAGGCAGTCGTTTCATTGTGCAGATTCTGAGTTGCACTTCCCGAGAAACACCTTCATTTGAACTTGTGCAATGTACTGTACCTTGGACAATTTGTAACAAGATGCTGATCTACATGTACCTGTAAATCTGTAACATTAACTAACTGAACCATGTTAGGATCCTGTTTGTTTATGGATGGAAAATAAACAAGGTTTTCACAGAGCAGAACAGAACCCTGCCTCCTTATTCTGTAGGCTTTTCCGATGATCTCGTGGATTAAATGTCAAATAGTGTAAACACATAAAACCCCATTAAAAAAAGCAAGAAGGCAGTTGCATTATGGAGATCATCACAGTAATGCATCATCAAATACAAATTTTATGTGCAAATGTACCTGTTTTGAAGAGATAACATCCTAATTTGATACAATAAACAACCAAATTTCTGACAATTTTTTAATAAAAAAATAAATTCTAGGCCTACAGGTCATTCTTGAATAAAAATCACATTTGATCAGATGACAAAATATACACTTTGAAACGAATAAATTTGTACACATGATAAATCGAGGAAAACAACATCTGGACATGACAAACCTACTGAATTCCAATAGTCTACCGGTACTTTGCAATGTACGTGACTGGTTAAAAAAAAAAAAGTTCCATCCAGTCCTTTGCTATGTTTGCCCTTCCTCAAAAACAAATAAACATCTTTTTTTAAACTATGTGTACATGTACATATACTGGTATGTAACTCTAGAAAAAAATTAGGTCATGTAAGTAAAAAAACCCATGAAATGATACTTTAACCAGTGGTAACAAAAAGAGCACTAAAGTACATGTAACCCTCTATTCATGGTATTCTTTTGGCATAGGGCCTACCTTTTATTCACTTAATTGTACAGTACAGATAGGGGAAAGAGTTCCGTGTTCTTTGTGTACGGACAACACTTGATGCCCCTGTGCACAAACCTAGGAGACTTTTCTGAAAAAAACTAAAACTTGATGTTTTCTAAGTGTCACCGTCTACTACTATATAAGGGCCTACAATTAGTATTAGTAGTACTAACCCAAATACTTCGAAATTTTCTCAGGTAAATTTTGCTTCTTATGAAACTTTCTGATGGCTGCTACAAACATGACAAAAAGGCTTTGTATAACATTTTAAGGGAACATTAGTGTCGTCCAATAAAGAACTCTTTCCCTGTCCCAGACAAATTCCTGTTGTCCTCAAAGACACTATCGTTACGGTACGTGTACGTAGCGCACACACATACAACACACCACACATTTCGTGAACGGTAAACTTGGTAAAGTATCGTGACCATGCATACGGCATGCACGATGCACTAAGCCATGTAGTTAAAATATTTGCCTTAAATCTAAAGAAAATAAGTAAAAACGCTTACATCTGTCCTCGCACCTGGATTCCCAGAAATTCTACTGATTTTTAGACCTCAAATGATTGAGTCACCAGCACGGAAAAACCACCAAAATGATTTGATGGATGAAACCAACGCAACTTCCGCGTTCCTGAAATTAACTGGGTCGTCTCGCGTTTTTGCAACATCCTCATATCCAGAGTTGAGGACAGACATCTAGCCCCAGTCTGGCTCCTACAGTGAGGTGAGTTTTAGTATTGACACGGCAGGGAACCAACCCTCGGTCACAATCATTATGTATCCGTTATCTACGGCTAGGTCTGGGCTGCATTTTTGTGTACACACGGGCAATAAACGTAGCCGTAGCTCTGAAGGCCCATTTTGGACAAGGCTAGCGCTTTCGATTCATTATCGTGTTTTGGGTTACGAGGTGAAAAAAGTCTGCTTCACGCATCGACAGCATTGGAAGTTCTACGGTGTAACACCTCCACTACTCAGCTTCAGTAACCATCATCATCATCATCATGCGAGAGAATTGAACTGGTCAGTCTGATCAGCTGCATAACTATTTTTTTGTGTTTTCGGTGGGTTTTCATGTTTTGTGGCCGAAGTTTTTCTCTTTACTGATGACAACTGACACATAACTAACTAACTAGGCCTACATAGTACATGTACATTTACGTAGCAGTAGGCTTAGCATGGACATGGACATAGGCCTAACCACAATAAAGATTCCCAGTCATGCCAGTTGACCAGTTGAAGGGGAAACTAAGTGTTTGTGTTTCTGTACATGTACATGTCCTCCTTCTTCTATGATGTGGTTACATCAGGGTACATGGTGTTGGATTGAAATCATTAGTAATAGTATTGAACATTTTTGTGCCCTGATCGGTCAGATTTGTTTAGTTCATGTAGGCCTAGTTAGGAAATGTGGGCATGGTGAGCATGATCATGACGATGGGAAAGGCACAGAATGATGAGAATTGTTACGCCCCAACTATAGCATAAGTCCCAACTATAGTTGGGACAGTCCCAACTGTAGTACTGCAGTTGGGCTGGCCCAACTATTGTTGACCAAAGTCTGTGGAAAATGTCTCAACATTATCCAAGTCAATGTGCCTCACACTTAACACAATTCATATAAAATGTGGCACTTCATCTGTTCATCTAGCCCTATGACCAATGACATGACATTTGTAAACAATATGACTTTGGCACATGCTGGGCACATCATGCACACAGGACCTCTCTGCTGTAGTTGGGCTGGCCCAACTGTAGCACTCTAGTTGGGACGGGCCCAACTATAGTTGGGACTGATGCTATAGTTACGGCGTAACAGAATCATGATGACCTAGTTTATGGTGGGGGGGGGTTAAGCTACCTACTGAATAGAACTTCACTTGTAGGCCTACGTGATAGATTTCATTCCTAGTGGAAAGTGAAAATAATGCAGGGATGGGAACAGCACAGGAGGCCCTAGTACTACACGTACTATGTACAAATTGATGGTGCTTCAGACCATGGAGGAAGGTTCCTTCCTCCATGGTCAGACACACACTTTCACAAAATGGCAGACATAAATGAAAGGTGTTAGGACCGTTTCTTCTTACAGGGGGATTTATGTAGGTACCGATTCATATATAACAAATAATGAGTGTTTCTCATGTTCAGTGGCAAGAATCTTTGCCTCATGGAATTGAACGTTTGTGACCTGCTCTGCAAAAAGGGTAATATTCGCACAATGCCGAAACATGTAATGGCCTGTTCTATTTGGAGAGGGTAAAATTTCTTCAAAAACATGATTTTGTGTTGTTTCCTTTAATAGCTTCTTTAACATTTATATTTTTGAAATTTGTGACTACAAACATTGAAGATGAACAATTAATCATTCAGTAGGAAATCCTGCATAGTATTTTGTTTCCAGGTGCTACACTTCTTGAGGTTTTTCTAGAAAAGTGCTTTTATTGAATTCGAAAATGTAGATATACAAATATCTATATCTCCAGAATGCAGCACACAACAGGGGTCATACATATGTATTTTGCTTTATGTTTACATATGTATATGCTTTTGATGTACAGAATCTAGCCATATCAAAAACTCATAACCTGAACCTGGTGACTTACACGTTTATGTACATGTACATGTAGTACATGTTTTTCTAGAGCCGGTCACATTTCATCTGTCACCTCGTAAAATTATTATCGTTACACTCATAAATACACTTGATTGGTATAATGCATGACAACTGAATTAGAACGCATAATAACTGTTAATTGTTTGGAGGAAATTACAAATTATACCGCAACAAAATTTCATCTGGTAGTTTGTTGACATTGTTATATGAAGTGGAATTCAAACCGTTGACCTTCAATTTTGGACTTTAAGACCTAGTACCAGCTGGGGCACTGTGCTCCATATTATGATTTTAGAGACTGGTAAGTCATAGAGCACTGCAGTTTAAGGTCTAAAATCTTAGTCTGGGCCTATGTGCCTGCTTGTATACTCTCCTGTAGAAAAATCCTTCAACTTGTTCAGAGCAACAAATCTGGAAAAACAGGTGAAATATCCTGTAATTTAATGTAGGATTTGAGTTAAACACAACTTTTTGGGGGAAAGTCCTCCTGTTTACCATCATGTCCTCCTGTCTACCTTCATGACCTCCTATCTACTATCATGTTCTCCTGTCTACCATCATGTCCACCTGTCTACCATCATGTCCACCTGT